AGGAAGAGCAGATTCCCTTAAGTTGTCCTCTGATCTTAACACATGCATGCACATAGGCACACAAGCACTTAGCACACACTCAGCACAAACACACAATACACACAAAACACCCATGCATCAAGTAAATGTAAGAAACAATTTTAGTTGAAGCTGAGTATGATGAAGCATGCTGCTAATCCTGGTAAAAGCAGAGGCAGGAGGATAGCTGCAAGTTCTATATCAGCATAGGCTACACAGTGAGTTCCAGGTCATTTGGGGCTATGTACAAACCCCTTCTTGGGCCTGGAGATGATGGCACATACCTCTCTCTCTAAGTGGCATTTGTTTATAGGTTTTTCGAGACAGGGTTTCTCTGTGGCTTTGAAGGCTGTCCTGGAACTAGCTCTTGTAGACCAGGCTGGGCTCGAACTCATAGAGATCCAACTGTCTTTGCCTCTTGAGTGCTGGAATTAAAGGCATGTACCACCACCACTCAGCTTTTTATGTTTTTTTGAAACAGGGTTTCTGTGTGTAACAGCTCTGGCTGGATGTCACACACCTTTAATCTCAGCACTTGACAGACAGAGGCAGGAGGATCTCTGTGAGTTTGAGGCCAGCCTGGTCTACACAACTAGCCCTCTCTGGACAAACAAAAAGAATTAGAAGAAAATAAATAACCTGATTGGAAACTTCAGAGGGGCAGGCTACAGGATTAGAGAAGTCTTCTGCCTGTCTCCCAAGTATTGGGATTAAAGGCATGTGCCAACACAGCTGGGCAAATAATCATTTATTTTTTTTCTTAAAAAATAAGTTATTTAACTTTATTTGCATTGGTATAAAGGTGTCAGATCCCCTGAAACTAGAATTATAGACAGTTGTGAGCTGCCATGTGGGTGCTGGGAATTGAACCTGTGTCCTCTGGAATAGCAGCCAATGGTCTTAACCTCTGAGCTATCACTCCAGCCCCTAATCATTTAGTTTAAATTCCTTTTTTTTTTGCTTGTTTGTTTTAGTTTCCCATGATAGGGTTTCTATGTGTAGCCATGGTTTTGGTTTTTAGAGACAGGATCTTACTATGTATCCTAGGCTGGCCTCCTATCTCTAGGTAGGTAAACCTGTCTATGAACTCCAATCGTCCTGCTTTGTCCTTTCCAGTGCTAGGAGTACAGGTGTATACCACCACACCTAGATTTGGACTACAGTTTGAGTGTGCTTTGTTTCATCAAAACTCATCATACTTTCATACTTGAGCTGAGGTGAGTTGTCTCAGCATGTAAAGGTACTTTCTGTGTTGGCCTGGAGACCTGAGTTCATGGGAGAAAAGAGATTCTGGATGGCTGTGACCTCCACACGCACACACATGTGTGCACGTGCACACACACACACACACTACAGTTTTCTGAAAACTCACTTAGGGCCTGGGGAAATGGCACACTGCTTGAGACATGTGCTTGCACACCCACTGTGCTTGTGGCATGCTTACTCGCACACAGTTTGTGATGTGTCCTTGCACACTTTATGACATGTGCTTACACACATACTGCTATGGCATGCGTGCTTGCACACTCACTCTGCTGGTTAGTTTTTATTCTCAGTTTGACAAAACCTAGAGTCACCTGGTTGATGGCTATTTTGTCAACTTTATTACATCTGGAATCTAAAATTAACTAAAACAGCATTTAAAAAATGGCTGGGCATACCTATAAGGGCCCTTTTTATTTTATTTTATTATAATTTTTTTTATATTCCAGACAGGGTTTCTCTGTGAAATAGTCCTGGCTGTTGTGGAACTCGCTTTGTAGACCAAGCTGTTCTTGAACTCAGATCCATCTGTATCTACCACCCAAGTGCTGGGATTAAATGCATGCTCCCTGACCATCTGACTATATTTAAGCATTTTAATTTAATTTTGTATGCCAATATGCAAACATGTGTGCCAAGATGTATCTGTGAAGGTGAGAAGACTATGTGTGGGAATCAGTTTTTACATTCTACATGTTATTTGAGCTTCTGGTCCCCCTGCCTCAGGATCTTCCTGGTCATGAAGCACGATTCAGAGGTACATTTTAGAGGCATGATCTGTGCATGTGGAAGACTACACTGTGGTGCTTTGAAGGGTGTGTCTGAAAAAACAAAGCTCTCCCACTGTGGTAAAGGCAGTAGATTCTCACACACTGGCTGTTTGGTCCTCAGAGAGGTTAGCATTGGACTCTGGCTATCTGAGCTCAAGTCCTGACTTTGACACTTACTAACTGCAATTTTATGCAGATTATGTTACCTCTTTGGTGCTCAAATTCATTGTCACAAAGAACAAAAAAGAAACAGACAAACAAACAAAAAAACCCACATCCAATCCCATCAGATAAACAATGAAAATTCCTTATCTAATTCTGACCCCACCTAAGTGCTTAATAACTGGTAGTTTCATGTTTGTTTGCTTTTTTTCCCAATCAAAAGCCAAGACAGTTTACCCTAGGGCAGTGTGTGTGTGTGTGTGTGTGTGTGTGTGTGTTTCCTTCTCATCCTCAGGACATGCTTAAGTGTTTCCATCTCCCATCACAGCTTTCTAGCAGGGAACCACTTGAGTTAGACTGAAAACATCCTGTGCTAATAAACTAAGCTTAAAGAAGCTATCCTGCCCATGTAAAGAGAGGCATCCCATCATCAAATAATAATGATGCCTTCTCAGCAAAGCATGACTCAGAGCCTACCCACTAAACCTGTTATTCTGCCTTGGCCAATAGTTTCTCCCTGGCTTCCTCCTAATGTTAAAACCTGTTGCTCTAACAGCTTTAGGTTAATAAAGAGGTTCAAAGAACAACCCATTCTCTAGGCCCTGGGACTTTAGCCTTTTCTATTCTTAGCTGTAAACTCTCTGTTTACTACAAGGGAGGCAAAATATTCACAGAACTAATGAATCATTATTTCCTTCTCACTTGTCAAGATAGATAGTGTCTACTGCCACCAAATGGACAAGGTAATTGTGGTTCCAGTAATTTTTTTTTTTTTTTTTGACAAAATTTCAAGGATCCTGGACCAGGTATTTTTTGGGGGTGGGGTCAGAGAGGTGGTGGGGTGGGAGGTTTTGAGACAGGGTTTCTATGTGTAGCTTTAGAGTCTGTCCTGGAACTCTGTAGACCAGGCTGGCCTTGAACTCACAGAGATTTTCCTGCCTCTGCCTTCTGAGGTTGGGATTAAAGATGTTTGTCACTACTGCCCTGCTGGGCCGGCTTTAATGTTTATTTTTGTGTGTGGGTGTTTTGTTTGCATGTATGTCTGAATATATGTATACCTAGTGCCCAGAGGCCAGAAGAGGGTTTTGGATCCCCTGTGACTAGTTTTTAAGCTGCCATGTGGGTGCTGGGAATTGAACTTGGATTGTTTAGAAGAGCAGCTAGTGCCCTTAACTGCGAAGCCATCTCTACAGTCCCTTATTTTGGCTTTTTGAGACAGTTTCAGAATGTAACTTCTATCTCTGGTTGACCTGGAAATTCCTATGTAAACCAGGCTGATTACCGAATTGAGGGAATCCCCCTGCTGTCCTGAGTGCTGGGATTACAGGGTTGTTACCACACCAGGCATTACATTCTGTAACTTTAGGATTGAGGAAGAATACAGAAGATTGAGGGAAGGTCATTAAGAAACTAGTAAAGACCCAAGTTATCTGATGGTGACAGTGGAAATCAGTACCTCAACATGACATCATGTTTGAGTTAGGCTTTGTGAACTGGCCTACTTATGGTAGCTTTTCTGTATTTCTTAGACAGCAGCATGACTCTAAGTTTTGGGCACCCCTCCTTCATTCTCTGGAGTTCAAGTTAAAAGGCAAGCACTGTGAAGTTTGAGAGAGAAAACTGTAAGTTTGACCTGACTGTTAGTGGGTAAGGTACTGCTACCAACTTCTTCCTATGGAATAATTACTATTTATGGTTGCCTAAATGTACAGACATTGCACTAAACACTGTATAAGCTTTAAAAAACTTTTTTTTTTCTTTTCTTTTTGTTTTGTTTTGAAACAGGGTTTCACTGTGTAGCCCTGGCTGTCCTGAAACTGGATCTGCAGACCAGGCTGGCCAGAACTCATAGAGATCCACCTGCCTCTGCCTCCCAGTGCTGGGATTAAAGGCAAATCCCACCACTGTCCGGCTAAAAATAATTATTTAGATTTATTATTTTTATATTAATATTATATACTATTATTATGTATGAGTGTTTTGCTAGCATTTATGTAATGCTGGAGGTGGTCAGAAAAGGTTGTCAGATCCCCTGGGACTTGAGCTAAAGATGGTTGTGAGCTATAATGTGGATATTGGGAATGGAACCTGGGTCCTCTGCAAGAACAAGAAATGCTCTTAACCAAGAAGCCAACTGTCTAATTCTGTACAAGTGCTTTTACAGTTGATTCTGCCTCAAATCCCACAAGTAAGAATTACTAACTGTACTTTTCAGATGAAGAAACTGAAGGCTCAGAGAGAATAGCACAGCTAGGAAGCAGTGAGACAGTTTTTAAACTGGCTAGGCCTGATGGTGGAGCACTCGGGAGGCAGAGGCAGGAGGATCTCTGAGTTCAAGGACAGCCTGGTCTACAGAGCGAACTCCAGGACAGCCAGGGCTACACAGAGAAACCCTGCCTCGAAAAAAAAAAAAATTAAATTGAGTTCCCTTCTTCTCCGCTTCATTTCTCCAAGCATAGGACTTTGGTTCACTAACCATTGATTTGATCGATTTCACCTTTCTGCTAATCAGGTCTCTGAGAATGACAACTTCTGCCTCCTTTGGTTCTGCTCTTTTCCATGAACTTCGTGCAGCAGAGCAGGGGAAACACTAGAAGATGTGCTCTTTGGAACCCTTTGTTTAAAGAACGAAATAACACACTTCCAAGCGCGAAGGACCGATCACGAGTAACCGAGCGCGGACTGAACCTCATAGGCACCCATAGCACACTTCCTCGCCGTCCTCAGTAAATGAGAGACCCGAAGCAGAAGTCCCGCCCTCGTCTTTTCTCCCTACGGTCGCGTCGGCGCAGGCTGTGTGCGTCATTTCCCGGCGGCGTGGAACCAGGTAGCCAACGGCCTGCGGAGCAACATGCCTAAGTGAGTGTGGGTCTGAGGACTGGCGGAGTCTCGGCGGTCAGCCGGGTCTTCGTGAGAACGGCGGGCCGCGGGTTCTGGTTCTTGCTACTCCGAGGCTGCTCCGAGCGCCTTGGTGACATGCCGGGTCGGAAACGCGGCGCTCTTGCCGCCCCTGCAGAGTGGGCTCGGCTCCTCCCCACGCAGTCCCGGCTTCTGTCAGAATGCTTTGTTTGACGCCTTAGAATCTGAGCTTGAGGTTTTTTGTTTGTTTGCACATCTAAGTGTTTTCATATTCTTTTTGTTTTCTCAGGTTTTATTGTGACTACTGTGATACGTATCTTACCCATGATTCTGTAAGTGGAACGTCTTTTCATAGTCTCAAAACGCCTCGTATGCAAAATAAGATTTTTGTTTTAATTCCAGCCTGCTGGAACCTTTACTACCACTGTTCATAGAAAGTAATTGGGAAGCGCATTCTTTTTTTACACCCTTTCAGTGGTGGTCTTTGTAAGTGGAAGATATTTGCAGAATAATAAAGCTTTAGATTTATGAGGATGAAAACATTCGCATATGCAAAATCTGCATTGGCCTGTAATCTCAGTACTTGAGAGGCTGAACCAGGAAGATGGTGAATTTCAGGTTAATCTAGGATACGTATTGAGGCCTTGTCAAAATAACTCTTCCCCAAAACCCAGGAGTGAGCTCCTACAACTCAGTTTTTTTTCCCTTTTATTTTAAAGACAAGGTTTCTCTTTGTAGGGAAAGCACTCTATAGATCAGGCTAGCCTTGAACTCAGAGATCTGCCTGCCTCTGCCTCTTGAGTGCTGGGGTTAAAGGTGTGGGCCACCACCAGCTGGCTCAAATATTTGATTATATCATTATTCAAAAGTTTTATTAATGCCCTGTGTTGGTGATCAGCCTGGTCTACAGAGCTAGTTTGAAGGTAGTAGCCAAGGGTGTTACACAGAGAAATCCTGTCTCAAAAACATGCAAACAAACAAACAAAAGTTTTCATGGTAGACTGTCAGGAGCAGGGGAGGCAGACTGTCAGGAACTTACCTGTGATGTTCATAGTTAAGCTGATAGGAGTTTGCTGCTCACTCTTCACTCTATGGGCTGTTATCTGTGAAGGGTGTGGACAGTGCTGTTATAACTGGAAAAGCTTTATAGAGAAAACCTCTAGAGGGACACAGGCTCTAGTCATGGTCTGGCCTAATTGCATTGGTAGATGGAGTGGGTGGGTTGTAAGCATCATTGAGTTGGGCATTGGCTTCCTGGATGTGTGTGCTTGTTATGTAGATCAGGTTATCCAGCTGCTTCTACCCCGAATGCTGGTATTGAAGGCAACCAGCTTAAAGTACTGTATTCTCATAACAGTGTTGCTTAAGTATTGAAGCAATTATTTTCCTGTGGAGAAACCCGAGGGCATTAAAATAGCACTGTGATTCAGACCAGGGGCATGCACACTTTTTCTAAAATAGCAAATTGTGTTTTTAGATTTGTAAATATCTAGTCTTTATAATATCCAAAGCTTTTCAACTTTTTAGTTTTGGAAATTTGCTTCTTTGTCTGACATGGTTTTTGTTTTGCAGCCATCTGTGAGGAAGACACACTGCAGTGGTCGGAAACACAAAGAGAATGTAAAAGACTACTATCAGAAATGGATGGAAGAGCAGGCTCAGAGCCTAATTGACAAAACAAGTATGTCTTGGTCTCTGGTCCCAATATAATAGAATAGTCCCTTTTTTTTAAAAATCACACTCTGTGTGATACACAGGGCCATTTGCTTGTGTTGAATGAGTGGAGTGGAAAGTTACTTGTTTCCCAGGAATCCCAGGAATATCGGAACACATTAATTCTAATTATTGAGATAATGCATCAGAGAACACCTCTGTGCTTTCTGGTTAGGCTGGGAGGTGGAGTAGAGAAGATGGGGTTTCCTACGATTTTTCTGTTTCTGGCAACAAGATTTTGTAGCACATTTATATGAGCCTATTTTTGCAAAATTACAGTCCATAATTTTTTTTCTTTAAAGATTTATTTATTTTTATATGCATTAGTGGTTTGCCTACATGTATATCCGTGAGGGTGTTAGGTACACTGGAACTGGAGTTACATACAGTTGTGAGCTGCATTTGCAGGTGTTAGGAATTGAACCCAGGTCCAGTTCTCTTAACCCCTGAAATATCTTTTCAGCTCTTGCAATCTGTAATTTTTTGTTTGTTTGTTTTTCTGAGACTGGGTTTCTCTGTGGTTTTGGAAGCTGTCCTGGAACTAGCTCTTGTAGACCAGGCTGGACTCGAACTCACAGAGATGTGCCTGCCTCTGCCTCCTGAGTGCTGGGTTTTAAGGCATGCGTCACTGACACCCAACACAATACATAATTTTCAGAAGATTTTTTTTCATAATTAGAAAATGTAGGAGTGGCTTTGAGAGACTTTATTTTGGCTTTCATGTTTGTAGCTCTGGCAAAAAGAGGTAAAGCTGGAAGGTGGTGGTGCACGCCTTTACTCCCAGCACTTGGAAGTCAGAGGGAGGTGGATCTTGTCTACAAAGTGAGCTTCATGACAGCCAAGGTTGCACAGAGAAACTCTGTCTGTAAACACCAAAAAAGAAAAAAGGAAGTAGTAGTCAGAAGAATCCTACCTGTTGTGAAAAAACAGTCTGAATGTGTTCTGGACTATATTCTGGATTTGCTGTATCTTTATGTTCATTAGGAATCTTCAAGACTTTGCATTTATTGTAGACCATGGATTGTATTTGAAACAGAGCCTTTTCTAAGCATTTACTTAGTTTCATGTGGTACATGTGGGTCTCCAACTTGTTGGGTATGTTGGAGGATGAACTTGAATTCTAGATCCTCCTGTCTCAGATTCTCAAGTCCCAGGGTTACAGACATGTGTTTGGTCTGTTTGTGTGCCCATGCATCTACATACATGTGGAAGTCAAAGAAGGGTGCCGGAGGTCTTACTCTCACTCTTTATGTTGGCCATAGCATCTCAAATGTAGCCTTGGCTTTCCATGAACTCATCGGGACCTGCCTGCTTCTGCCTTCTAAGTGCTGGGATTAAAGGCAATTGTCTCCATGCCTGGTTTCTGCTCCTATCACTCTGGGACTTATTCCCTGAGCAGAATCCTTCATTGAACCTGAAGTTTGTCTTTTCAGCTAGCCTATCTGGCCATTGAGAGTTGGGATCTACTTCTGTCTGTTCCTTATACAGGGGTTCCAGGCATGCATGGCTATGCCTGGTTTTAATGTGGGATCAATGGATTTGAACTCAGGTCCTTATGCTTGAGCAAGAACTCTTATACACTGATCCATCTCTCCAGCTTCGTTTGGGTATTTTGGAACTTGTGGCAATCCTCCCTTCATAGGTTAGAGGTAATATTTCCAGTAATGCTATTATGCCCAGCTAAATAAGTTCTTTTAATGGTAGGCTTTTGAAGCAGGGTAGGCAGACTGTCAGGAACTCAGTTAAGCCCATATGAGTTTGCTGCTCATTCTTTACTCTATGGGCTGTCATCCTGTACAGGATGTAGACAGTGCTGTACTAACTGGGAAAGCTCTATAGAGAACCTCCAGAGGGGCACAAACTCTAGTCATGGTCTGGCCTACATTGCATTTGTAGATGGAGTGGATAGGCTGCAGGCATCACTGAGTTGGACATTGGCTTCCTGAGAGTGTGATTTATTTATTTATTTAGGGTGGTTTTTGGTTTTGTTTTTTGGGGTTGTTTGTTTTGATACAGGATTTGCTGACCTGGAACTAACTCTGTAGAGTAGGCTGGCCTTGAACTCAGATATTTTCCTGCCTCTTTCTGCCTTCTAAGTGCTGGGATTAAAGGCCTATGCCACCACCACCTAGCTTGGTTTGGATTTTTTGAGCTGAGGACTTGCTTTACAGTCCTGGCTAGCTTTGAACTCTTGAGCCTTCTGCCACTGCCTGTTCAATGCTGGGCTGATAGACTTTTGCCACTATACTATTTATTTGACTCTTCTGAAGTCACATAGATAATTCCCTTTTTTTTTTTTTTTTTTTTTTTTTTTTTTTTTGAGACAGGGTTTTCCTGCATAATAGCCCTGTCCCTGTATCCCTGGCTGTTCTGGAACTTGCTCTGTAGATCAGGCTGGCCTTGAACTCCATAATCTCTGCCTCCCTAGTGCTGGGACTAAAGACAAGTGCCACCATTGCCTGAAAATGAAAAAGTCATTGTGGTAGGCCTTTGTTAAAATGATAGTTTCCTTCAGTGCAGTCTGTTGATTTCAAATATGTGTCGCCTCTACATCTGGTCAGAGCATTTGTCTCAGAAGAGGTAAGTAAGGGATATACATAAATTTTACTCCGGATGGGAGGAGACATGTTTTAAAGCCTGTTAAAACCTGGCATTTGGGCGTGGATTGTACATTTTTTAAATAAAACTAATGGCTTGAATTAGTTACAAACTAAATTTTTTAAATGTAGAGACAGACTCATTATATTGCCTGAATAGGTCTCACAATCCTGTATTCAAGTTCTCCATCAGTTATGCCTGAGTCATGAGCCCTCCCATCCCCCCAAGACCACCAGGGAGTCTTGAGTTTGTATCCAAAAGCAAAGAGTCTTTACTGCATGCTTGAGCTTGGACTTTCCATCCTCTTTGACATAGTTGGATAATGGAGCGCACTGAGCTCAACTATGGCAGTGTTTTTAAGGACTAAAGGACAGGGGTGGGTTGGGGGGAAGGTAGGGGAATTCTGGATTCAGATGGGGGTTGAATTCCTGATTGGGCAGGAGTGAGGTAACAAGTTCTTTCAAACAGTGATTGGTACGGGTGTTGCTGCAAGGAAATTGGCAATCTCTATACAAGTTAGGTAACCTGTTCTTAATGTTCTGGAGCATCTAGTGCTTGTTTTTCTCTATTCTGATTGGTTTCCCTGCAGGGTACAGTTTGTGGCTCTTCCTGGTTATTATAAGGATGAGGCCTAGTCCCAGTATTGTTAGCCTGAAGCCTGTCATGCTTCACTGATAGTAAGTTAGGCCTCTTCATCTTGAATGCTGGGGTTATAGGTGTATACCAACATGACTGGTTACACAGGTATTTTAGCTATTAAATGGATTAAATTATAAGAAAACTTTTAGTATCTAAATTAGTAAATCAGTTAATTGTAGCAATTATGTATCTCAATTTTAAAACTGTAGTGCTACATGTAGTAACTTTAGAATACTTTCTAGAGTGCAGTAAATATAGTTAAGGATTTCAAAGAAAGAAGGTGGTTATTGTAGTAAATGAGTTGCTGCATTATTAACATCGTTTTTTCTTTTCTTGCTTAAGCGGCTGCATTTCAACAAGGGAAGATCCCTCCAGCTCCATTCTCTGCTCCTCCTCCTGCTGGGGCCATGATCCCACCTCCCCCCAGTCTCCGTAAGTCTGAAACTTTGTGTTAGATGTGCAGCTGCTCACATTATCCTTTATTAGCTTGTCACATAGTTGGCTTCCAAAGACTTGTAGACTGATTAGGTAGTTTCCTAATTGGAAAACAATAGAACTTCAACAGTATAATTTCCTCTTGTGTGAGTGTAGAAGTGCATGTGTTCACATGGAGACTGCAGGCCAATCTTGGTGTCATCCACCTTGTGGTTTTGTTTTTAGTGTGTGTCGTGACTCAAGGCACGCACCACCACTGCCTGGCTTTCAATTCAGTTCTTAATTCTTACATGGAAACTACTTTCAGACTAAGTTACCTTCCCAGCTTTTAGTGGTCTAAATTTATTTATTTATTTGTTTGTTTTTCGAGACAGGGTTTCTCTGTGGCTTTGGAGGCTGTCCTGGAACTAGCACCTAGCTCTTGTAGACTAGGCTGGTCTTAAACTCACAGATTTGCCTGCCTCTGCGATTAAAGGGGTTTGCCACCCCCACCACCACCTGCGTGTATGCCTGCACTCCAGAAGAGGGCACCAGATCTCATTATAGATGGCTGTGAGCCACTGTGGTTGCTGGGAATTGAACTTAGGACCTCTGGAACAGCAACCTGTGCTATTAACCTCTGAGCCATCTCTCCAGCCCATTTTAATGATGTAAATTATAAAGTAGTTTTAAAATTAACAGTTCTTTTGTTTAGTTTGTGGGAAGTAAAGTCTTAGGTTAGGCTTGTCCCACTAGCTCCCGTAACTTAAATTAACCCATTTCTGTTAATCTATGTCCTTTCATTTACCAATAATCTTGCTTCTGTGTCTCCATGCATCTTTCTCCTGTACCTAAATTTCTTCTCCTTTCTTTCTCTGTCTGCAAGTCCCACATGTACTACCTGCCTAGCTATTGGTCATTCAGCTTTTTATTACACCATTGACAGCAATACACCTTCACACAGTGTGTAAAACATCCCATAACATACATACCTAATCCTGTGAAAGGTGAGACTAGTTGACAGTGGAGTAGATCGTGAGCCTTTGTTCTCTGGGAAGGCATGTTGTTTATGTATTGGACAGGAGGGTATCTGGTACAAGGTCATTGTCCTTTTGCTACCCCGGGAGTGTTCAGACTGGACTTGTATGTTATGGATGTGAACAAAGAACTGGGCTGCTTAGGGCAGTTGCTCACTGATGGCCTGTCAGACTCTCTGGGTGCTCAAGCAGCTTCCAGATCACTGGAGCCTCTACATTTTTCCTCCTTTGATCTTTTTACATAGTGAGTCCGTATCTCAAAACAAACAAATAACAACCAAAAACAAATACATTTTTACATACATTTTACATAAAGTTTTATGTGTATGAGTGGTTTGCCTACAGATACTGTACTGTATGTGTGTGTGAGCCTGGTGCCAGAAGAGATAGAAGATGGCAGTAGATCCCCTGGAACTTATTTCTGCCAGGCAGTGATGGCACACACCTTTAATCCCAACACTTGGAGGCTGAGGTTGGCAGATCTCTGAGTTCTAGGACATCCAGGGCTACAGAGAGAAGTCTTGTCTCAAAAACAGTAAGTCGCTGTGTGGTTGCTGGGTCTTGAACCCAGGACCTCTGGAAGAGCATCAAGTGTTCTTCACCCGAGTGGTCCCTGTAGCCCTTGTGATTTGTTTTTATAGGAGATAAGTGTCCTGAGGATTGAGCCCAGCTGCCTTGTATACTCTTGAGTTCACACTAAGCACAGACTTACCACTGAGCTGAGTGCTGAGCCCCAGGCATTTCAGATGCTACAAGGATTCACCTTATTTTTACACTTTTGTCAAGCCAGCCTTGTTATTATTGCTTTTATGTTTTGTTTTGTTATTAGAAACAGGGTTTCTCTATAGCCCTGGATATCTTGGAACTTACTAAGTACACTATGCTGGCCTAGGACTCAAAGCTATGCACATGTCACTATCTCCTGAGTGCTGGGATTTTATTACCACTTTTTTTTTTGTTTGTCTGTTTTGGTTGTTTGTTTGTTTGTTTGTTTTTCCAGACAGGGTTTCTCTGTGGTTTTGGAGTCTGTCCTGGAACTAGCTCTTGTAGACCAGGCTGGTCTTGAACTCACAGAAATCCCCCTGCCTCTGCCTCCCCAGTGCTGGGATCAAAGGCGTTCGCCACCACTGCCTGGCTATTTACCGCTTTTTAATCACAAAAGTTTGACATGTTAGAATAAGAAACCATAGAACGTTTATTAGTTAGAGATTAACTAGTTGTGAGAGGAAAGTGTCAGCATGCAAACCTGCTTTAACCACAGCCTCCATTGTCTATTTTAGCGGGTCCTCCTCGCCCTGGTATGATGCCTGCACCCCACATGGGAGGCCCTCCCATGATGCCGATGATGGGCCCCCCTCCTCCTGGGATGATGCCTGTAGGACCTGGTGAGTTGGAATGTGTCACATTTTAGTTGTGCAGTGAGTTTTAGTTCTGCATTAAGGGGAATTCTGTTAGCTGTAAGTATTGTAACAGTGAATTTGGTTGGTCTTTAATGATAAAGATTTGGTTTGTCAATATGTCTGAATAACTTAATGACCTGTGACCTGTGTTTTGAAAGCAGTGTGAGGCTGCCCCCTCCACCAACTGGATTTCTCTGTGTAGGTTTGTAGCCTGGTCTGACACTCTCCCTTGAACTCACAAGAGCTCCATCTGCCTCTGCCTCCCAATTGCTGGGTTTAAAGGCATATGCCACCACCTACCTAGCAAGGCTCTTTCTCTTTGGTTTTTTAAGACAGGGTTTCTCTGTGGCTTTGGAGGCTGTTCTGGAACTAGGTCTAGTACATTACACCAGGCTAGTCTCGAACTCACAGAGATCCACCTAAGGTTCCCCCTTCTTAATCCCTCCATTTTTTTTTTCTGGCCACTTTCAATGAGGTGGATAAACTTGTATCTTGTATCTGGGGGTGGAAGAAAGGTAGTTTCTGTTTTGATTTGATGTAGAGCTGCCTCTTGTTGGAGATTTACTCTCAAAGATTAACTACACCTGATCAGTAAGTATACCATTGGCTTATTAGTGTGGATGTTACAGGGATGGGAGAATATAGAGGGCAGATTTACTGGTTTAGGAACTCAACACACAACCAGGTGATTTAGATTGAGTTATTATTTAATATTTCTGAGACAGTCTTACTATATAAACTAGGTTGCCTGGAACTCATGGAGATCTACTTGCCTCTTGTCTCCCAAAGCTGGAATTAAAGACACGTGCCACCATGACCTGCTTTTTTTCTCTAAATCAGTGTCACAAAATAAAATTCCTAGTTTAAAGATGTTGGGAACCAGGAATTGAAAGAAATGTAGCTGGGCATGGTGGCACACACCTCTAATCCTTCTGGAGTGATCCTCATTACTCAAGAGACTATTTTGAGGCAAAATAAGCAATGTAGCAAACCCCGTTTTTCTTTTTTCCTTTCTTTATCTTTTTTTTTTTTTGTTTTTTTTGTTTTTTTTTTTTTTTTTTTTTTTTTTTTTTTTTTGTTTTTTTTGTTTTTTTTTTGTTTTTCGAGACAGGGTTTCTCTGTGTAGCTTTGGAGCCTGTCCTGGAACTCACTCTGTAGATCAGGCTGGCCTCACAGAGATCCACTTGCCTCTGCTCCAGAGTGCTGGGACAAAAGGCCACCAATGCCCAGCTGCAAACCCTGTTTTTCTAAAACAAACAAACAAAAAAAAAAAAAACAAACAATAAAAAGCAAATGATGGGGGAATGGGAAAGATGACTTCCAGGGGTTGGCTCTCATTGCGCGAGCATGTTGAAGCTGGGTCTGTAGCTGTGGATGGCCATTTTTTTTTTTTACTTTTACTACCCTGTATGTGTTCCAAGACTTTATAGTCAGTTAAAAGGTGAAAGAGTTAAATACACTGTGGATAGTGAGAGTACAAATGTTCAGGTGTCCAGTTTGGATGCTTTATCTGAACCAGTATCCTGTAAACCCACATATAGATCCCCAAGTGTGGATGTGCTTGTGACTTCAGGGTACAGTAACACATGCTATCATTGATATTGCTCCTTACAGTTTCAGTGCCTATTGTATTGTCATTTCTCACATACATTGTGTGTGTGTACGTACGACATATCAGTTGCCCTCCTGTGGTGTGGGAAAGAGGGTATGTGGAATTTTGAGAAGTAGTTTTACTCTTGCAACCCAGGATGCCTTGAACTCAGGAACCCTCTGTCATCCCAGAGTGCTGGCATTATAGGCTTGTACCCCACATCCAATTTTGAATATGGTTATATCTTGAACTATATATACCACAAGCCTTTAATCAAAATTAGTTAAAAGAAACAATTTTGGGATACCAGGATGCATTTGTAATTTCAGTGTACCCACCCCAACTGATTATTTTATTTTCCTTGTTGAGATAAAGGCTCAGTGTGGAACCTTGGTAGGTTAGACTGGGATTAAGTAACCAGGCCGGCCTTACTCACTACACTCATCTTGCCTCTGCCACCCATGTGCTGAATTACAGGCAAGTGCCATTATGCTTGCAAATACTTAGAAGGAATTCATACAGCAGAAAAGTTATAGAGCATAATAGCAAAATGAACATTCATGATCCCATCATCCAGATGAGGACTAGACAGTCAGTTGTACTGAAGCTGAAGTTGCTTCTCTGGTTCCCCCCCCCCCCCCAAGTCTTTGTATTCCAATTGATATAATTCCTGATTGCTTGCTATTTTTTCTTTTGAGCTAAATGCAGGTACTATTAGGTTTTCAACCTGGGTCTGATCACCTTCCCATAGTTCCCAATAGTCACTTAAGTGGTGAAACTATCCTCAGAGCCTGGACATAGAGGAGACAGCTCCTATTACATGGTAGAGATAATTGGCTAAAAAAAGCTGATGGGGCCAGGTATGGCAAACATACCTTTAATCTCAATGATTAGGGAGGCAAAGGCATGGGGGGTCTCTGAGTTAAGGCCAGCCTGATCTACATAGCCAGTTTCAGGACAGCCAGGGCTAAACAGAGAAACCCTGTCTCACCCAGAAATAACAACAGCAATAAAAGTAAAAAAACAAAACAAAAAAAAAAAAAAAAAACAAAAAAAACAAACCAAACAAACTGAGCAAAGCAGAACTAGTGTTCCTGGTGCCTTGTGAAGAACGGTGGTCTATTTATAGCCACTGTTGTCACTAGATTAGGGTTGCTAGAGTTTTCTGTACTGACTTTTTCATCTTAGTTTGATGTCTTAAGTAATTTAAAATTTGAATTTGTTGCATTTTTTTTCTGTCTTTTTCTAGTATTTATCAGGATCCACTTTTTAGTGTTTTGTTTGTTTGTTTTTTCTGAGACAGGGTTTCTCTGTGTATCCCTGGCTGACCTGGAACTCACTCTGTAAACCAGGCTGGTCTCAAACTCACAGGGATCCTCCTTCCTGCCTCTACATCCTGAGTGCTGGGATCAATTATTAAAAGTGTATACAGCCACTGCCCAGCTCAATTGAAGTCCCAAACTACTGTCTCATGAATGTTGTTTCTCATTCTTTTTCCTCTTTGTTTTGTCCCACAGCTCCTGGAATGAGGCCTCCCATGGGTGGTCACATGCCCATGATGCCTGGGCCGCCAATGATGAGACCTCCTGCTCGTCCTATGATGGTGCCCACTCGGCCCGGCATGACTCGGCCAGACAGATAAGAGCAGAAAGGCTCTGTATCAGTTTTGTATTTCTTGTTTTATTTCACCAGATTATGGTGCTGAGCTTGAGTGTTTTCCAGCTGCATGACAGGGAAGACTTCCCCTTTCCTAATAGAAAATAGTTTTGGAGGGGAGAAGTGGGATTTAAAAAGTGCAGTTCTCACTTACATTGTGAAAAATGAAAATAAAATTGTCAGCTCTTTTCGTTAAAAGTGTGTCCCTTTTTCCTTCCTTCTATGTTCTGTGTTCTGTAAAGGATGTGAAGCCAGCTGTGTTGTATTAGTTTGTTCTGCAGCATGTCTCATGTGAGACTCTTTAGCCATGGTGTGAGGCCCTGTGCTTGCCTGTCTGTTTACTTAAATTTCCTAATTATAGGATTTTAGAAAAAAATTTCTTTTGGATTCTCAGATAGGATGTTTTTCTTTTGAGACAAGGTTTCTCTGTGTAGCCTTGGTTGTCTTGGAACTCGTTCTGTAGATCAGGTTGACCTTGAACTCAGATCTGTCTGCTGAGACTAGAGGGGTGCACTACCATTGTCTAGCTATGAAATTAAATTTAAAAAAAGAAAAGTTTATATGTCTAAGCCAGGCATGGTAATACATACCCATAATCCTAACATCAAGGCCAGCCTGGGCTTTATAAAAACCTATCGGAGCCAGGCATGGTGACCTCAGTGACTAAGGTCAGCTTGGCCACTTGAAAAATACTTCTCAAAATCTAGTCTACAGAGCAATTTCCTGGATTGCCAAGTGTACACAGAGAAACCCTGTCTCAAAAAACCAAACCTTTTTTGTTACATTCATGTGTGTTTGTGAGTGTGGATGTCAGAAGGCTTGTGACAACTGGTTCTCATTACAGCTACCATCTGACTCCCCAAGATTGAACTCTTGATTATTAGCCTAAATTACTTTACCCATTTTAGCCACTTAGTCCTTTTTCTCAGATCCCCTCCTTGGCCTTTTGCCTTGCGGTGTGGCAGGGGCACAGTGTAAGAAAGGGTCTCCAGTCCCTGTTGGCCTTGAATTCAGTTTACAGCTAAGGTTGCCCTTGAACTGCTGCCACCTCTACCTCCCTAGTACTGGGATGACAGGTGTGTACTATCATTTCCAGCTTGCTTTTTTTTCCCCTTGGGGGTTTAGGGGTGGTGTTGAGGCAGTGTTGAGGCACCGTGTAACAGTCCTGGCTGTCTTGAAACTCGCTTTGTAGACCAGGCTGGCCTTAAACTCACTGAAATCCATGTGCCTCAGCCTCCTAAGTGCTAGGATTAAAAGCATGCATCACCATGGCCCAGCATTTCCAGATGGCTCAATATTGCCGGGCAGTGGTGGCGAATGCCTTTCTTTAGTCTCAGCACTTGGGAGCAAGAGGCAGGCCGATTTATATCTGAGTTCCAGATGAGCCTGGTCTACAGAGTGAGTTCCATGACAGGCTCTAATGCTACAGAGAAACATTGTCTTGAAAAACAAAACAAAAATGGCTTGATATCTACATGATTTGTAAAATTGTGGAGGTTCTTTTTCTGAGTTGATTGAACTTAGTGTATTTAATTTTGAAAGGATTCAGTAAATAAAATAGTACATATATCTAGATGTGATTAATATTGTCAGCTTGACAGCATCTGGATCCAACCTGTGAAAATAACAGGACTTAACTAAGTAAGCACAGCACAGAGACAAACAATCAGTTTGCTAAGTCATCCACTGCTTTAGGTTTTCTGTACTCTGGGCCACTTGGCCATCTGTGCAGAGGTGAATAAATTAAGAGTTCAACTGCCTCAACACAAGCCCCCAAATCCAGTTACTGAAAGGGGTATACTGTTTGCTTTGGCCCCAACTAGAACATCTTGCTTCCTTGATGTCATTGAGACAGTTACATTGCTCAGAAATCAAGCTTGCTAACTTTTGTCAGTCTTCTAAGAGTGAAGAACAGGTGTCAGGTGGATTGTTCACTCTGCAAAGTTCAGGAAGTTCACATCCATTTCTCAGCTCATGGTTTGGAATAATTTAATTACTTGTTTCTGTAAAACAGACCTCCCTGTCTTTCCTGGTTATCAATCTGGAACTTTTCCTTGTTGCATGTGTCTGTGTTCAAGTGTCAGTGGGCACATGTGGATGTCCACTGTCTGCCTGAATCACTTGTGTGTTTGCTGAGGCAGGATTTCTTGTTGAACAGAGAGCTCTATCCATGATTTGGTTAGGTTAGGTAGCCAGTATGCATCAGGGGTCCCATCTCCATACTCAAGTACAGGAACACAGCTGTAAATGGGGTTCTTAACTGGTCTAGATAATAAATAAAAAGTTAGAATCAGATATACAGAAAAATGCTGAGAAATCAGAGAGAAGGAGCAAGCCACAGCCACACCTTAGCTCCTTAGAGTCTCAGCAGACCAGAGCGAGTTCCTGTTTCTCAGTGCTTATATCCTGTTTCTGCCCAGCTACCTTACTTCCTGTCTGTCTGTACAGCCCTCCAGACCTCTATGGTTAGCTAAGCGGCAAGCTCCATTCCCTGACCCCCAGACAGGCTTTATTTGTACAAGCAAGTTATCACCACAGCCATTGCGTCTGCCCTGCTTCCCTATGGGTGCTGGAGGCCCAGATCCCTGTCCTGCTTACAAAGCCACCAGTTTACCCACTGAGTCACCTTGCCAACTCTGGGACTACTTTTAGGTCAGGCCAACCCAACTCCTAGACACACTGCTGCTACCACCTTCACAGGCAGCTGTGGAGAAATATCAATGTCAATATGCACATATAGGAAGCACCTTACAGCAGTGTCCTGTCTCCAGGCTTCAGAAGCTGCTTTTAGAGAGTCCTGCCTGCCTCTGCCTCCTGAGTGCTGGTATTAAAGGCATGTACTGCCTGCCGTGCTTGCCTTTACATAGTGGTGTGTGTGTGTGTTAGTTATGAGATAGGGTTTCTCAGTTTTTCTGTGTAGCCCTGACTTCTGGAATTCTGTAGAGCAGGCTGGCCTCAGACTCAGAGATCCACCTGCCTCTACCTCCAGAATGCTGGGATAGAAGGTGTGCACCACACTTGGGCTACATAATGGATTTAAAAGAGAAAGAGATGCTGTGTATACCGACAGAAAAAGCCAAGACAAGCTTGGTTCTGTGCCTTGGATGGTTCATAAAAAAACAAGTCATATAGATGATACATAACTATTAACAGATAATTTATTTTTTGTTTTGTTTTTTGTTGTTTTTTTTTATTTTGAGACAGGATTTCTCTGTATCGCTTTGGAGGCTGTAGATCAGGCTGGTCCCAAACTCATACCTGTCTCTGCCTTACGAGTGTTGGGATTAAAGGCGTGTACCACCACTGCCTGGCTAGATAATTTCTTTAAATTCATTGCTGTCCTTAAGGAATTATTTTTAGTTGTCTGTGTTTGAGATAAGCAACTGTTACACTGGTAGCTCAGGAAGAGCAAATAGTAACTGGGGGACAGGGACGAGGGGAGGAAAGTTTGTCCCTTTCTGGTAGCCTGTATTTTGAGTTATTGTTAAAAAATTATCACAAAAACAAAATATCCTTGCCAAACTTATGGTGCCATTGCCATGTGAGGACAGAGAGTGGCCCAAGCCTGCAGTTTACAAGTTTAGTTGACGTAATCAAGTCACAGGGGTCCTTTCTCAAAATAAAGATTTGTTTTGCAGAGGTGGGAGATGGAGAGCGAATAAGGCAAGTTGCCCTCAGGCTTGTGATCTTTCTGTCCTAGCTTCTAACTATAAATTCTAGATTTGGGATTAATAGATCTGGGACTAGGAAATTTCCAGTTTAGAAAAGCTTTTAAACATTTTATTTTATTTTTGTTTTTTTAAGACATGGTGTTGGACCCTAATTCTGGGGTCCTGATGGGCCCGTGGGAGAGCCCCGCGACACAAACACCAAAACCAGGAGATGCAACAGGCAAGAGGTTTTTATTGAACAAGTGCACTCGAGTGACAGCAATCTCGGGGAAAGCTGCACACCCCCCAAAGGGTTCAGGCTCTTTTTATAGAGAAGACCACAAATCAGCATACATGCATGAGGCACAAGGTGATTGATTACAAAGTATGATCTCATGTTTGAGAGATCACCAGGTATGACCTGTTCTTATTCAAAGGATAAACCATAGAATGATTTGGAAAGTCCCCAGACTGTCCGTTGGCCAGGAGTGACCCAAACAAGGCCTGGAATAATTTGTTCCAGGGTTGGGGGCCTATGTCCTTGTTGTGGGCCAAGACCTGTGAGAAACTTTTCTCATACTCTGGCTTTCTCTTGGCTGTACATTTAGAGCCTTCAGTTACTTCACAAAGGTTTGATGATTCAGTAACTAACCTATTTAACAAGATCAGCCTAGCATGACCACTACCCCCATCACCACAGTAACCTTTCTTGTTCTCATAATTTCTGTCTTTTCCTCCCATATCAACGTCCATTCTTTATGATTTTCTGTATTCCACATGCAAAAATTATTCTTCTGCCCCTTTCCTACATCCTTGCTCTGCAAACTAAAATCTTTCAATGGTTTCTCTGTGTAACAACCCTGGCTATCCTGGAATTCACTTTGTAGACCAGTATCACGGTAAATAAGGATAAGGATAAACAAATAGGCCGAATAGATGTTTATTCAGGGAGAAATAACTTACAACCTTGTAACGAGTATGGTTTTTCTGCCTGCCACCTGGTCTTGTCCTATTGTCGCGCCAGCCCCAAATAACACACAGAGACTCTGTATTTGATACAATGCTGTTGGCCCAGTTACTTGTTTCTTATCGGCTAGCTCTGCCTTTAATTATTAACCCATTTCTGCTGATCTATGTATTTCTCTTACCGGGGAGCCGGCGGCATATTGCTTTCTCCAGACTCTCCATCTTGACTCCTCCTTACTACTTCCTATTTCCTCCTTGTCTCCTAGTCCCTCCTATCTTCCTTTCTATTGGCCAACAGTGCTTTATTATTAACCAGTATGAGAAACATACAGAATGACCTCTCCCATCACAACCTAGACAGATGAACACCAGGAAATTCAACCCGATACTCTCCTGTCCGAGTCACGCCAGCAAGAGCTCTCCCTCCGACTCCTTCCACAGGTCACTTCTGCCCATGGCTCCACCCCCAATGGGCATGGTCAGTGCCACAGAAGGACTATCTCACTACAATTCCCCTTTTAGTCTAAAGAAAAGATTTAGGCTTAATACAAAACAGTGAATAACAAGTGTGCTCTAAGAAAAGGAAAATCGAGAACAAAATAACCTACATATCTAGTCCTAGGGTGAAGGCATAATGGAGTTTACAATAGAGTTGTCCTAAGCTGGAAAACTTAAGTCTAGTACCTAATATATCTAATTAGGAAGAGAGAATAATAGTTGTGATAGTTTAATCTTCAACCTCATCAAGACCTGAGAAGGAAAATAACAATACTAGAGTAGACAGGAAGTACGGATAGACAACTTCCAAAAGGTGCAGCAAGGACAGAAACAGCAAGCCACCTGGACAGTCACCTAAGGTCTCACAGCAACGTTGGTACACCCAGTTTTGGCTAAGGCCAAGAGAACTTGACAGACCACAACAACAGCAGGGAAGTAGAATGGCTGTCTTACCCTGACTTGGCAAGGTTAAGCAGTCTTCTATATTTGTCTCCTGCAAGCACATAGGACTGCATGTGCATGGTCAAGGTGGGGGCAATTCTTTGCCCAACAGGCCATTAGCTGAGTCGAGAATGAACTCCAGCAGGAGCAACAACAGTGTCCAACATATTTTCGGGAAAGTGCACGGTGCTGTCAGGAGCAACAGTGTCTCATGTCAATGGAGTACTAATATTAAAACATTTAAATGCCATGTTCTGCATGTCTATGAAGTGATTGAAGATTAAGCATCTATATCTGACTAATCTCATAGGTACAGGAAATATGAGTGAAGATAATCTGTAATACTCAGGAACTTAGCTAAAAAACTGATTAAAACTTCCCTGAGTAAAGCAGGAACAAATACTTAAACGATATAACTATATACATATACATACATATAAATCCCTAAAATAGAGGTAGAGTAGAAATGTCAAGACAAGAGGTAGAACTATAAAGGGCAGTATGATAAATATCCCAAATTGTATCAATATACAAATGTCTTGAATACAAGAAAAGTATACATACATAGAATATGGTAAAAAATAATGTGCATAAAACATTGTAAGTGGAAAGATTTAACACAATATAACAAAATATAAACTTAATTTTACATAGCTTACCACATAAGAATACATAACAATGTAAGCTGTAAAATACTATCTCATTCTTACTCAAATTCTCAAGAAAATAGGCTAATCTACCTATATCCCATCTAAACCATACCTTTCCCAACCATTCCCTATTCCTGTCTAAAAGATAAACCTGAGTGTAAGCATCACCCAATCCTAAATAACTAAAACCAACCCAAAGACTATGACTATTATCCCAAAATTCCAAGGGTAGGGAAAGGGGGCGTCATTATCTTAAGGTTACTTCCTGCTGAAATGGGACGATGATTGCTCCAATGGAAGAAAATTTTTAGCAACCAAATTTCTCAACAGAACTGGCTGTGACATATGTAGCTAGTCACTGTGTGGCAGAAAATTTTTGACTGTAGTTCAGGGTTAGGGTTAGACCAGCCTGGCCTTGAACTCACAGACTTCTGCCTACTTGAGTGCTGGGATTAAAGGCATGTGCCACCACTGCCTGGTGAAAGTTTAAGGAATTTTAGCTGAAGTAAATAAACAGGAGTATAGCCAGGTGTGGTGTACACAGCCGGAATCTTGGCATCAGGAGGCAGAGGCAGGAACACTGCTACAATTTTGATGCTATCCTGGTCTATCTACATAGCAAATTCTGGGCCATCTAGGATACCTTGTCTCAAAACAACAACTCAAGAGTAAACTAGAAGGGCTGTGGGCTAGTGAGATGGCTCAGTGGTTAAATGCTTACTGCTTTAGAGAACCCAGGTTCAGGTCTCAACACCCACACCATGCAGCTCTGTACTGCTTTTAAGTCCAATTCCAAAGGATCTGACAGTTTCTGGCCTCTGCAAGTACCTGCACATGCATGGTGTACATAAATCCACATAGGAACACACACAGATAATAAAAACAATACATCTTTAAAAAGGGGGTGTCTGGGATTGTAGCTCAGTGGTGGAGTGCCTGCCTACCTCAGTTGCACAAGGCACTCAGCTTAATACCTACTACTGCCAAAAACAAAACAAAACAAAACAAAAAAAACCCTCAATCAACCAACAAAGCAAAACCACACTACATAGGAAGAATTGAAGACATCAGTATTCATCTGCATGGTTGCTTCTTTTTCCAAGGGCATTTGGAAGCCATTGCTGAGTATGTTTTTTTTTTTTTTTTTTTTTTTCCCTTCATTTGAATTATGTATAGTACTGGCCATTTGGGAGATTGGTTTATTTTTTATTATTTTATTTTTAACTTTCTAAAAGGAGGCTTTAATGCAAAGTATGCTGTTTACCTTGGGTTTGGTTGGTTGGAGTCCTGACTTCTCAGCAGTTTGTCTGAATGCTGCATTTTGAAATGAGATCCTTGCACTGAGCCATTGTGCTGTGTGGAAACAGGATTCAGCCCTTGTCCCCGTTGCATCGCTCCGGCCAGATGGTATCTTAGACTCCTAGATACAGTGGTGAAGCATGAGCAAGCCTGCTCCACCTGTCCTGAAGGCTTGTGACACTGTTTAACTATGAAGACCTTATGTATTTAATAGAAGCTTCATAACTGCAGATATTTCTTTCCCTTGAAACTGGAAGCATTAAAGGTCAGATTTCTTGGCTCAAAATCACTAGGACATTTTATCAGTCAGGTCACTGGAAACATGTCTTACTGTCCTTGCTCTTTAGGCCTTGAGGCGCTTTCCTTTGGTAGATGTGGTGGCAAGTGAGCTGTGTCATCATTGTGAGATTTCAGACTTAGAAGTTGCAAGAACCATCCAGAGGACACTTGTATATTTTTACTTTTTTGGATTTAGGTCTATCATTGTGACACTGGTTGTCCTGGACCTCCCGATGCAGACCAGGCTGGCCTCGAACTCACAGATCTGCCTGCCTCTGCCTCTGGAGTCAAGAGCCCAGTGCCACTAGCCTGCTCCTTACAGAGTAAACCCGCCCCTCAGCGTTAAGCCATGCCCTTCTCCGTAGGCCCCGCCCCTGCGGCCTCGCCTTTTGCCTGGTGAGCCTCGGTTGCCCCGCCCCTCATGTGGTGCGCCTGTGCCGCCGCGCGCGTTCCCGTCCCTCGCCGCGCGCTTTCGCCACGGGGAGCCGGGAGAGCGGTGTGCGGTCGCGGCTCTTCTCCGCGAGAGGCTGCGGTGCCGCGCGGGTGGGTGGGAACGTGGCGGAACTCCGGGCGCCGCGGCTGGGGCGACAGAGTGCCATGGCGGCAGCCGTGGCTACGGCAGCTGGTACCCGCGCCGCAGCGAGGTGAGGGGCCGCCTCTTCTCCACAGCCGAGGAGGCCACGGCTGTCTGCCTGCCTTCCGCGCGGGCCACGGCTCCGGCATGGCCGGGATCATCAAGAAGCAGATCTTGAAGCACCTGTCCCGGTGAGAGCGCCACCCTGAGTGTCCGGGCCCTTCCCGAACCCCCCCCCATCTCAGGCCGTGCTTGGCTGGCCGGGCGTCCCGGTTCAACTCTCGCCGGCCGTTGTCAGAGCTGCGTTCCTACCTCGCCCCAGCTCGGTCCCCTCCCCCGCGCCGCCACCTCCTCCCTCTGCGCGGGTCACCCGGCTCTTTCCTGGTCCGGACCCGCACGGAGCACAGACAGGCCAGCCGGTTCCTCTGAGCACCGCTGCTCAGCACCAGGCCTCTTCCCGCCTCCAGAGCCGCCCAGCCGCCGCTTCATTGCTCGCTTTGCTCCTGGGTGCTGCATAACCCACGACCCCTTAGATTTGCAGCACCGACGCTGGCTTCTGTGAAGCGAGCTCCTCCTATGTCTGACCCTGTTGCATCATCGTTGAAAAGATGTAAGCCCTTCGCCGGAGACTCGTCCTCCTTTCGGACCTCCCTCCTTTCTCTTTCCGCTTTCTTTCACAGACTAATTGGAGAAAGGTCAGCGGAGTTGGGCATAAAGTTTCAGCAACCTTCCCTTTAAGATGCAGTGGAAGTTTCCTGACAGCCAGTGTCCACTTGTGCGTCGTGTTAGGCCATTCTGAGGCTCGGTATTTGGGGTGTGATGGATTGACTGGCTGTTAAGACAACTTTTAGTTATACCTGAAGGATTCCTGGTCTGTAGGAGATGATGCTACTTGTTAGAACTGGTGGCTGCGAAAAATCAGGAGCTAGTGTTGCAATTAGTTTTCTTTTTCTAGCCTGGGGTTGCTGACAGCTGTTAGTTTAGGTGGTCTCAGTTCCTCTAGTGATCTAGTTTGTCTGAACAGTAGTTAGTGGTTTTAAAGAGAGGGGTGTGTGTGAGTGTTTGTGTGTTCCCAGTTAACATGGAACACCAGGGCTTGTGCTGATGTTTCCTTTCAAGCCTTTTCATTGTATTTGGTAAATGATGTGTGAGACTGTTCTTGACATGGCATATTTGAGACTTTATCAGCTATATTCAGATCCATTCTTTGGTTAGTCATGGTACACACACCTGGGCTCAAGGGCTCCTCTAGAGCCTGGGTACTTCCTCATTTACTTTCATAATTTCGTATATACTGCATAGATTATTGCAGGCTGCTGTGATGGCACATGCTTGCAATGTGAGCATTTGGAGGCTGAGGCGGGAGTGGGATTTTGAAGCCAGCCCTGAGAACATAGAGTCCCAAGTCGACTTGGACTACTTGTTGAGACAATCTGAAGAAGTTAGTGAGGTGACTACTTAAGTTATCATATGTGCAGACTTATAACAGAGCCTCACACGTCATGTGTAGGACACAGGATACTTTTATTTTGGGTGTCATAACTTGGGTGGACAATTTAGTACTATTCATAGACCTGTCTAGAAAAAAAGTCATACATACTGACAGTTTAGAAAATGATTATTATTTCCTCTAAAGCTACAGAGAAACCCTGTCTGGAAAAACCAACAGCAACAACAAAAGATGATTTATTATTATCAGGGATGTGTGTGTTGTGGATGTTTGGGGAGGTGCAGGAGACCCACGGTGTGCATGTGGAAGTTGTAGGACCACTTTGGGGAGCTGCTAATTTCATTCCACTTTTCTGGGAATCAAACACAGGTCATCAGGCTTGTATGGCAAATGCTTTTAACTGCTGATCTAATCTGCTGACCTCTTGCTGTCTCTGTCCCTGTCTTGAGACAGTGCCTCACTTTGTAGCCCAAGGTAACTGGTGTGGGTTTCCTGCCTTAGCCTCAAAAGTGCTGGAATAATTGACATTTTCCATCACTCCTGACTTCAGGTAATTTTTTTGTGGGAGTTGTGAATGCCTAATGCACTTACCTGAATCTTGAAAAGCATCCTGGAATAAAAGAAAAATTCTTGATGTAGTCCAGTCCCAGGCTGGCCTCAAACTTAAGAGGCTGGCCTCTGCTTTCCAAGTACTGGGATTAAAAGCATATGTCACCAAGCCTGGCTTCAGCCTCTCACTTTTGCCTGAGGAAGCAAGAAGCCCAGCAAGGATAAGTGACTTATCCAGAGTGTGGTAGAACCAGCTTCCTAACTCTGGGGCAGTTTCCTTGTAGTGCACACATGTTCTGTGCACCTTCTGTGAACATAAAATTTTAATGATACAGGCTGAAGTCTTTGAGATTTTCTTTTCCCCTGAGGCATGGTGTCATGTAACTCAAGCTGGCAACTAGTTCTGTATTCCCTGACACATTTGTTGAGTTCTGGGAGAAGAAAGCTTTTTGTTTTGTTTTCGTTGTTGTTTTTGCTTTAAATAAAGTAGGAGTAGCATGCCTGACAAGGAGGGTCATTTCAGATTTCCTGGATGTGGGGCTGGGAGGAGGAAGAGGTCACTTAAAGCTGTGCCCCTTGCAGAGGAGTAGGCTATAGGTCTGGTTGGAAAGGCCAGCTTCCCAGGGCTTTTGTTTATTTTGGACTCACTATTTAATCTTGGGTGATACTGATGTGTGTTGTGCTCACCCCCACAGGCCAGGGAGGAGCTGTGGTTCTGTGGTTTTGTGGGACCTGACAAGGAGAGAAAGCTGGGAAGGTTTGCAGAGTCCCTGTGCTATTTTTGGCAGGTGTGTGGCAGTGCCATTTGAATAGGGATAGGGTCCTAGAGCAAAGGGCACAGACCATTGATGATAAAGTGCGTTCTGGTAATTTTATTAATTTAAGATTTTGCTTATTTTGGTTTTTCAAGACAGGGTTTCTCTGTGGCTTTAGAGGCTATCCGGAACTTGCTCTGTAGACCAGGCTGGTCTCGAACTCACAGATACCTGTCTGCTTCTGTCTTATGAGTTCTGGGATTAAAGGCATGTACCACCAAGGCCTGCCTTATGATATTTATTTTAAATGCCTTCTCTATGCTGGGTATTGATCAGGGCACTGGGAAGGCAGCAGGGATTAAATGTCTCTTAGGAATTTCACCCATGGTTTGGGTGATCATTGTCCAATATGCAGAAATTTAATACACCATTAAATGTTCATTGAAATGAATCTATGTAAAGAGCTTTACTTAGTAACAGGAAGTAATTATATTTAAAATTGTTTTAAATTTATAGCTTTATTTTTAATTAATTTATTTAAAAGAATTAGCCGGGTGTGGTACTAAAGGCTTGTAATCCCAGCATTTGGGAAATTGAGGCAGGAAGGTTCACTAAGTTAGGTTATCAGTGTTTTTGTTTGTTGGTTGGTTTCTCTCCCCCTCTTCTTGAGATGCCTGCCTGGCTATTTCAGCCTTAGGAGTATTGGCATTATTGATATGATGCCACTGTGTCTGGCGTTTCTTCTTGCTTTAGGTTACCTTAACTAATGACCTTGGATTGTACAAAGTAAGAAGGTATATGATAGACTGTGAAGTCAATCAGGGGACTTTAGATTCAACTGGGTGGTGGTGGCTCACCTTTAATCCCAGCACTTGGGAGGCAGAGGCAGGAGGATCTCAGTGAGTTCAAGGCCAGCCTGGTCTACAGATCGAGTTTCAGGACAGCCAGGGCTATTATGCAGAGAAACCAAAAAACAACAAAATACCCCACAAGTTTGTTTCAAAGTGGTTTCAAGTGAGGCAGTTTTCCAGGACAGCCAGGGCTACACAGAGAAACCCTATTTCAGTAAAGAACAAACAAACAAAAAAATAGATTCATATTTTGTTTTGGTTTGTACTGGCTCAAGGCTTTGTGTGCTTGAGACAAGTGCTCTGCCAATGAGCTGTATCCCTAGCATCCAAAGTGTTCATTTTTGAGGCAGCCTCTCAAGTACCAGGATTACAGGTGTGCACAACCACTTGTGGCTCTCCCTCTCCTATCCCGTGGTCCTAGAGATTGAACCCAGTACCTCATGAACAGACAGTAAACACTACCAGCTGAGCTGTGTCCCCAGCCCATTGTGGTTATTGATTCATATACATATTTTATGCATCTTTTTTATTGTGTGAACAAGTGTTACAGGTTTACACTACTATATGTGGTTAGGCTTAAACATTTGTTGTGTCTTACGTATGTATGTGTTCATGTATTTATATGTCATTTCTTAGTAGCAGTCTATAGTTAACCTCACTGGGACCTGAAACTCATTGATTAAGGGAAGGCCAGCTGGCCAGCAAACTCCAGGGATTCTCCTGTCTCGCCTCCCTAGAGCTGGGATTGGAAACACATCACCACTGCTGACTTTATGTGTGTGTCGAGGCCTGAACTCAGGTCCTCATGCTGGCACAGCAAGCATTTTACTAGCTGAGTCAGCTCGCTAGTCCTTGTCTGGCTGTTGTAGTGCATGATCATGGCTTACATCAGGTTGTAGACTCCGTTATTGTATGCTATTTTTTTATGGAAATATAATTCAATGTCTTTATACTTGCAGATGGTAAATACTATGTATTTTCTCAGTTAGAGCCATTATGAATGATATTGTGAAACTATGAAGGTTCTACTACATGTCTTTTTAGTGATAATGTATGTATACCTGTTGGGAGTCTCTTTAAGATCAGGGCTTGAGATTTAGGGTTGTAGAATGTGTGTGGGCTTTCATGAATATATTCCTACATGACATGCTAGTTAGTATGTCTGCTACCAAAGTGTGTGGGAACTTTGGTTCTAGGTCCTTGAACACTTGGCATTTTCCATTCTTCTCATTGCAGCCACTCTGGAAGATTTTATTTTGAGAAGGTGGATGTGGCAGCTCCCAACTAGTTAGGCTGAAGCAGAAGGGCTGCTGGCAAGTTCAAGGCCAGGCAGGGTTATAGTCTGATCCTTGTCTCAAAACCCATAGGAAACAAAAAACAAAACAAAAAAAACAAACAAACAAACAAAAAGAAAACTGGGACTACACAGAGGAGCCCTGTCTTGAAAAGGCAAAAATAAAGAAATAAATAAAATAAAACTAATATATTTATTGTAGAGGGTATGTGTGCCAGCATGTGTGAGATCATAGAACACATTTGTAGAGTCATTTTTCTTTGTGGATTCTGGGTACCAAACTTGGGTCATC